TATATATATATATAATTTATTTTATTTAAAAAAACAAGAGAATAAGGTTTAATATAAAAAAAGTTTAAAGTTCCAAAATACGCCTGTTATCACTGCTGGCATAAGCCACCATATACCAGGTCAAATATCAGATAAAATGGTTAATGGTCTCCTAGAGGGTATCTCTGTGTTTTATTTTAGAATTTGGTGAAAAATGTTGGCACAAGCCCCTTATTTATGACAAAAATGATCTAGTGAATAATGTTACAGTCATTAACTAAACATTACACCTCAAGCTGGCTCTTTAGCAGCTGAGATCTCTACTTCAGTGAATTTCCAGAAAGCATAGCTCAATAGTACGATACATTCAGCCTGTGAAGTGAAGCTTCATTTAAATTGCAGAGCATTTCCAACAAAGGTATAAATCAATTACTTATTTAAAAGTTGTTTAAATTTGAGAGCAACTTTTGTAACTTTGTAATCTATGTCTTCCTCTCAGCCAAGTGGTTATAGAAAGCCAAGTACTTTAAAACATGACCTGCTTTACCCTCCCGTTTCAAAGTTAAGGTAATTTGTAGTTGAATTAGTTCATCAAAGTGCATTAGAGCATTTCTTAGCATTCTAAATGTTAAGTTGCTATCAACAGCAGGGTCACTTTTAATTTCGCGCTGTAGCATTGGAGCACCATCTGACAGACTGTTACTTTTGCCCAAGTGCATTGAAGAGGCACTCTAAAGCTTATGATTTATTGAGTGCTTTTAGGAAACATAACATAAAGGAAAGACTAGCACAGGTTTTTTTCCCACTTTTTATAATACCCCAGAAATTATGCAGATAAATTCAAATCTTGTTACTTTATGAGACTCTGTTCATAATGTCATTTTTTTTTCCAACTAAAATGGAAAATTCATTACCATGCATCAGAAATTATATTGAAGCAAAGCTGCAGAGTACATTTCATTCATACTACAGTTTAACCAGCCACAGTCCACAGCAATCACAGAATCTCTGCAATCAATTTTGTTACATATACAGTAAATTAATCAAGAACTACTACCATGACAAAACTGTCCATAACATCAGATTATGTGTATTTGGAATTAAAATGTGTTATACTGTGAACTACAGACTTATTTTACTGAATGTCCAATGCAACTGAGTTTTTTTTTGTTTTACTTTCATTGTTTAATTTTGTGTTAATGGTGGATGTTCATTGGAGAAGCATTTTGTACCTTGTGTAATGGTTAGTTGCTGATCAGTCTACTAAAGGGCAGCTTTATGTCACATATTGGTTCATTCCTATTGGTTTAACCACTTGGTGGGTAGCAATAGAGTTATAGTTTGTGTGCAATACTGATGGGCAAGCTGCTACAATCTCCACAATGTACAATAATAGTAATAGAAAATAATGGTGGACCTCATTACATTTGGGTAGATGTTCCAATTCTATTAAAGCCATCCCATATGCCATCCAAGTAACAGTCACCAGCAAAACAGAGGAATCTTGATTAATTCAGAATGCATTGCATTAGTGAATTGCCCAAGTAAGATATACTGTATCTGTGTGGTGGTAGAGGCAGAGCTCTTGCTACCGTATGTCAAAGCCTCCAGCAAGGCAAACAGTTAGCAGCACAGTTGTGACATCACCAAATCTCACTAGAAATTTCCTGAGTATCAGTTAGTGGTAGCGGTGCTTTAGATCTTATGCTGCAGATATATAGCTCTGAAGCTGTAGGCACAAGAGTTCCTAGGCACCCTCAATACCAGAAAGTACAGTGCTGTTTTTCAGGGCATATTCCAGACAGAAGGTATGTTTTCAGGGTACTGTTAGACACAATTAGCATTTATAAGCAAACCTTCACTTTTCTGAGGCTTCAGTTCCACTTTAACCTATATGCTGGTCACACATATGGCATTTTTGAGGACATTTTAAGCAATTCCCTCCTGTACATCTTTACAGGGAGAATACAAACAGTGATACAACCCAGACTGGTTCTAATCCTTCCCTATGCAATATATTCCACTCTGAATATGTATTAGACCTCTTTATGTTGATGATCAGTTACATCTATAAAAGCAGAACTAAAGTTAAAATATAGTGTTGTTTCATTTTGGATCTGTCGCATATACTTTTTAAAATAAATCCCTGTTGAGCCTGCCAAAGGTCTTATGTAAACGAATAATTTCCTGTGCTTTCTTTAACTACTGACTTGTATCAGTTAGCAGTGTTTAGGTCTCTGTGTGAACTATAGCACACCTTTCCTTCTGTTATGAAAAAGAGGGGAGGGCTGTTTTATAGTCCTAATACATTTCCTGTCTGATGGTAACAAAATTACACCTCCAGGGTAACATCATTGACCTAAGCAAATAAAGCCAAGGGTTGGTGGCTTCTAAAACAAATCCTGACTCCCATTTCCACGTTTGCAGCCAAATCGGGATAACACCTACTTTATATTTGTAATATGTTCCCATTCACATAGCATAGCTTAAAAAAAAAATAGGGCTTACATTTTTAAGCGCTTTTTGCATGCTTAAAAGGCCTGCTTAGCTTTCCCTATGGAATGTTAAGGAGGGGCTCTGGGAAGTTATGTTTACTATAATTAACCCTATCATCTGTACTGTGCAGACTGATTTAATTCGGCTGTAAACTAGATTTGAAAACTGTCTGTCCTAATAAAGGTATAAAGATTTATAAGCACTGTATGTTAATGAGAGGAGGTCTGTCCCTCTACTTTCACTTTCCAACTGCTCAAGTATGCTGTGTGAATAGGAAAACATACCAAACAGGGGGTTTTCTCATATTTGACTGCAAAAGGGGAAATACACTTTAAAACTGAACTTCAGGCAGGATCTAAAAGGCACGGATTGTTGCAGCTCTATAATCAGTAATATATTGTTGTTCTCGGACCTCAGCTGTACAGGGGACAAGGTTGATGAGGGAATCCAGACAATCCATTAAAGGAGAACTAAGAGGTGAGTGAAAATCACTCATCCTCACAGTTCGAGCCAACGTGTGACAATGAAACTGTCACACGTAGGCTCAATAGATCGGGAAGTGAGCAAACACATACTGTTGCTCGCTCACTTCTCGATCAATTCCCCCCCTCCCCACTCCAATTCTCCAGCGCTGACTGGGGGAACGGACGGTACAGCTGGTTCTGCCTCTAGATAGACAGAGCCCGCTCTCACTCACACAAGCTGGGTGGATCTCGACAGTAATGTCGGGATCCGCCCCGGCTGCAGCGGTCTCAGTAGGCTGCGAGCTGTAGCTTGCGATATACTGAGCTTTGGGTCACGGGAGGACGCCAGTATATGTCTTCCTGTGACCGTTAAGAGACCTATGGGGAAAAACTCTTACCCCATAGTTCTCTTTTAATGTATTGGAGCTGAGAGTGATTCAGCCCTCCCTGCAACATTGCATGTGCTATCTGCATTGAAGGCCATGGCTTGCATCAACCATCAGGAAGGAAACAGAAGTTGTGCTACTCAAAGAGAAATGGACCTCATCATGGCCTGGGCAGAACTTCACATTCTGGCCTTGTCCACTGCACACATTCCAGGAGTGGGCAACTAGCAGGCCAACTTTCTCAGCTGGCAGCACTTGGACTCTACACCCAAAGTGTTTCTGGATAGCTGCTGCATATTTTAATGAGGACAGTGTCCTCCCATTTGTTTCTACTGCTTTGAAACATACTAGGAAGATCTCCCTCTACTGCTTAGATGTGGTTCAGGCTATCTGTGTCTATATCTGAGCTACAACTTTATTGAGACAATCTGGTTGTTTGTTTGTAGCTCCTGAATAACCTCACAGGAGACTCTGCATCTCAGTCTATCTGTTGATGAATGTATCAGGTCAATGTATATACCTACCTACCACCATCTGTTTTTTGTTTACACATTTACTAAGTTTTGCCAGGTGGGTGGACAGCCCTCTGCTGATGCCACTTTTGGCCTGTGTCTTGCACTGTACATTTAAGAACATTTTTGACTTCTGCTAAATTTTGTTTCTTGGCATACAGTACAGGGCACAGGACCCTCACCTCTATGTTCTCTATTGTTGCAAAAACAACTGAGGATTTCCTGAATGGGAGAGGTTATATGAGGGTCCTTACAGCACTTGCCAGTGATATATGCATGTTACCCAGTTGTCTCTGAATCTGCCTGTGTTCTGTACTGTACTCCAAGAAACATTTGTTGTTGTGTTTTGTATTAGGTCAAAAATGCAATTTTTTCGCAAATCCTTTTGAATACCTCTACATTCCCTAATTAGCTGAATTCTGCTATGCCTGTTCTTGTACACAATGCCCATTTCTCTGGAGAGATATGGTAAGCATTATGGCTGAAGTAATTACTTGAAGTGCCTAATTATATTTGTTTGTTAACTTTTATTGTGATAAGATTCATCCACAGATAAGGTTAAATTGTGTGTAGCACACATTCTAGGTGCCTAAACAGTTATTGTGTTTTAAAGGATAAAGGAAGTTAAAATCCGCTTAAGTCAATGTAGATCTAAAAACTGTCTGTCCTAGCAAAGGGTTAAATACATAAGCATTGTATGATAATGACAAGAAGCATGGTCTGTCCCTCTACTTTCCTTTTCCAACTGCTCAAGTATTCTGTGTGAATAGGAAAACATATAGTATGTTCTCATATTTGATTGCAAACGTGCAAATACTCCTTAAAACTGAACTTCAGGGAAGTATAAAAGGCCCACACTATGCACACTATTGTAGCTCTATAATCAGTAATACATTGTTAAATGTATTTTCTATTTTCTACATGTAAGATGTGTAAGTACTTACACTTTACTTGGCACCGTCTGTACAGTAAAGTTTAGAGAAGGAGAAGCAGCCCAAAGAACCCGTAAGGTCCTCTGCACTACAGTTTCCGAAGGAAGAATTCACCCACTATATTTTCCCTAGTGACCATTGTCTCTACTGCAGAAAATGATGAGGAATCCACAATGTTAGAACTGCCCAAGGAGGTGAGGGAAAATCTGTCAATAGGGACATCTGTTTAAGCGACAACTGTCTAAAAGGAGATTTGCCCTTGTTTTGGAGATAATTCTTCTTACTTCTTTTGTATTCTGACACAGTGGGAAAAAAGCTTAACCCTTCCAAATTTTATCCAAAACAAAAACAATAACATTTTTTTATTGGGGCCCACTAGAGAGCTTATTTTTCCTTCTTGTTTAATGAGTGGCACAGGGGGCATTTGGCTTATACTGCGATCTACAGGAAGGTGTATATACTGGCAAACAAAAACAAAGTGTTTTGTCTGGTAAAACCCCTCCCACTCTGAGCATGCCCAGGACATATTCTGTTGGGTATATCTAGATATTTTTACAATGAAGTCTGGGCCAGCAAATGGACCTGTGTACCATCAAGGGTCCGATCTTGGCACTTGCAATCTTGTTTTAAAGAGCTCTAGCCTCCAATTCCCTATTTAAGACTTTTGTACAAGGTGCTTCCCATGTGGCTTCCCCTGTAACGTCACCCATCTCTCTGTGGAATTGAATTTGGCCCTGTCAGCACAAAATAGGGATATTCCTATATCCACTGTTCCCCAGAAAGTTTTGTTTTCTCCTTGTTGTATCACCTCTGTGTGGCATGTGTCTTTACTGGTGGCCTTGTCGGCAGGTTTATGGAAGGCGTGCAACTGTTTCTACTGGATGGTTGCACCTCTTTTGTCTTCCAGGCACGCTTGAAAACCTTTTCGGCGAGTTAGTGGCGTGCTCGGAAGACAACTGCTGAATGGGCCGGTGTGCGCAAGTGCACACTGCCCGCTCAGCATTGGAATCATCTTTTTGTTATCCAAGATGGTCCCTGCAAGACACATTATTGTTTAACATTGCCTAAGATCTTACAAATCGGGTTCCACCTTTTCTTAAGAAGGCACACTTTACTAGATCCGTGAATGCTTCTTGGGCTTTTTGGCATTGTGCAACTGTTTCCCAGATTCACAAGGCCTTCTAATTTCACCTTCTCTAAGTTCTACCCATGGCTGTTCAGGCTTCTGCCAGCTGATGTCAGCTTTGGGTGTACGGTCTTTCAGGCAGCAATTTGAGCTTTGGCAGGCCCAATTTGTTTCCTCTTGTTGTTTTAGTGGGCCTCTTAGTGTTTTGTTTGCTGTGTTGCCCTCCCCTCAGTTGGACTTCTTTTGGAAATGGGAGAAAGAAAACATTATTGTTCTCATCGTGAACATTTTTTTTTTAGTTAATTGAGGGACACCAATTTTACCTGTTTGTTTTTGGTCTTTCTCTTGACACTACAGAAGTATTCTGGGAGCGGGATGGGTTGTACACTGTATAATATGGAAAAACATATATATATATATATATAATTTTTTTCCCTCATTAATCTACACTCTGTACCCCCATGATGACAAATGAAAAAATAATTTTATAAATGTTTGCAAATAATGTATGGCAAAAGGAAAAACTGAAATATCACATTGGCATAAGTATTCAGACGCTTTGCAACAACACTTGACATTTATCTGTGGGGCCTCCCATTTCTCTTGATCATTGCTGAGATGTTTTTCCACCTTGATTGAGTCCACCTGTGGTAAATTAAATTGATTGGGCATGACTTTAAAGGCACACACCTCTCGATAGAAAGTTAACAATGGAGAAAGAGGGACAATGCTTTACCCACTAAGAAATAAAAAAGGAACAGTGCTGTGTATTGTCTTATTTTTCCTGTCAGCTTTCTATATCAGTAGGTTGTCCTGATAATCTGGACTGCCTCATAACGTAGCACTCAATCAATCTTGTGAGTACCAGATTTGTAGAACTGTATTGCACTGGAAAATGCATTCCTATCTGTGAATTAATTACTCAGCCGAATGCATGACATTACTTACACGTGAGAGGAAAATGCAAATAAAATGAAATTATAGATGGTAATGCAATATAAATTTACATCTTACCTTTACCTAAAGGCTATAATTTTCACATGTTCTTGCAGAATTATTGATGGAAAGGATCTGCTGCCTTTGGTTCTGGGAAAAAACGTCACATCCGACCACGAATTCCTGTTCCATTATTGTAATGCTTATTTAAATGCTGTAAGGTGGAATCAGAGGAACAGTAAGTGAAGTTTAATGTTTTCTTTTTAAATATTTATGACATGTTAGTAATGTTTTATAAAACCTCAATAAATTGTAGGCTGGGTTCACACCTAGGCAACAGTGTTTTTTGCGCGTTTCTACGCGTGTTTTCGATGCTTGTTTTCTGCACATAGTTTATGAGCGTTATATGCGCATAAATCAAATTGCACATTTGTGTAAGCAGATTGTAGCTCATCGACGTTAATGGGCAACCGCGTGTAAAGCGATCAAGCACAGCAAACGCGTGTTTTCAAGTGTTTCTTGGGGCCAAAACGTGCTGTAATATGCCAAAAAAAGCTCATGTACTTTTTCCAGCAACAGGCATTTTGCTTATTGTGACAAAACACTCAAATGTGAACAGAATACATGTTGTTTTTGGGGGGTGCATATTTTTTAAAGAGAGGCTATTTTACTGCTCTGTCCAATCTGAACCGTAAGGATGTCTATTTGTTGAGCAGGCCATAAGCGAGCACAATACATTCATTTTCCTATGTCTGTCACATGGATTAAAGATTACCAATTTCCACTATCATTTTTTTAGCCTGAAATGCTTTCATTTGTTTCAAAAGCAATCATTACACCTTCAGGAAGTGTTTTCCTCAAGATCTTATATGTTCTTATAGAGTTATTTAGCTCAAGAATGTTTACCCCTTTTCTCCTGTCATCTGTCAGAAAACTGCAAAAAGTGAAAAAAATATAATCATAGGTACACAAGAACTTAACTGTGAAAACCTCCAGGTCACAGTATACTGGCAGTAGTTGATAGAATTCTGTAAAAAAAAAAAAAAAGGAAACTTCTAGCAAGATAATAAACCTTATTATGTTGCAGTACAAGGGATTGTAATGTGCAGTAACCCATAGCAGCCATTTATCGTTTCAATCTCCCGAATTTAGAGCAGTCAAAAGAATGGAAGATAACTGATGATTGTTCTTTTAGTCTACAGCATTTTTTTAAATGTGTCTTTAAAAAAAAAGATTTTTTCACTTGTTTTTATTAACTTGCACAAGGACCAGATATTGCTTTGTAAGCTGCAAACCACCAAATGTTTTGTTTTGCTAACCACATGTAAATAGCATATCTCTCAACCTTGTAATATTGAACATTTTTAGCAGGTGTACAAGGCTGTGTTTCAGAAAATTTCACATAATATTTTATATATATATA